AGTCTGGGTGGACGTTTGTTGGCGCCTCATATGGATGCGAAAAATATTGCCGGAAGTTTTGGGAGCTTTGAACACGTGGACGTGCTGGTAAAAATTGCAGAAGTGGGGGTACCCATCGCAGTAGGACCGGAGGGAGACCTGAAGCATAAGTTCGCGTATGGGAATCACCCGAGCGCGCAAAAATGGCACGGAGCGATTTGGCAGAAGGTGGTGGAGGACGTAGAAGTACGCAGGCCGGTGTTGTTCAGGAGAGAAGTTGCAGAAAAAAATCCGGGTTTGCGCGTGTCCCCGGTCGGGGTGGTGGAAGAGAAAGAGAAACTTCGGGTGATACACGATCTGACTATACCAGTAGCGGAAGCAACGGGGGGGAAGGGCGGCCGGTGAATGCCACCACTATTTTTGAAGAAACTNCAAAAATGGCACGGAGCGATTTGGCAGAAGGTGGTGGAGGACGTAGAAGTACGCAGGCCGGTGTTGTTCAGGAGAGAAGTTGCAGAAAAAAATCCGGGTTTGCGCGTGTCCCCGGTCGGGGTGGTGGAAGAGAAAGAGAAACTTCGGGTGATACACGATCTGACTATACCAGTAGCGGAAGCAACGGGGGGGAAGGGCGGCCGGTGAATGCCACCACTATTTTTGAAGAAACTCCGGCGTGCGGGATGGCGACTGTAATGAAGGAGGTGTTAGAACGGTTCCTGGGGTTGAGAGCTAGGTATCCAAGGAGGACGATTTTGTTGCAAAAAATGAACGTGCAGAAAATGATAGACTCGTTGGGGCAGCGTGGATCCCATGGATCTGGCGTATGATTGATGGGGGAGCCACTGTTTTATCACAAGGATTCGAAAGTGCATTCAGACATAGTTCGACACGAGAGTGTTGAACAAACAACAGGAAGCGGGTTGAGCGACAATATGCGTTTGCGGTCCGAAATGAACCCCGCACTACAGTACAAAATGTCCCATCTGGAGTTTGGGTTAGGGTTCAAGATGGCGATTAGCCGGTTGCTTACGCCCCAGCCCGAACCCCTATAACGCTAACCCTAAACCTAAGTTGTGATTTGAGTACCCTTGGTTCGTGCGGGGGGTTGGGCATACATTCAGGACCTGAAATTCGGTACTTCTGTAGCATGTTTATGCGCTTGTCTGCATCCATTCATGTTTCCGTATTACGGGCGAGATAGTCTCGGTGTGTGTGCAGGCACGTCGCCGAAGGAGATGGGATCACAGGACGAGAACAATAATGAAAAAATTATTGATGACGAGCCGCCCAGTGCGAAGCGCAGCCCCATACCCTTCATCCCTAGAGGGAAAAACAGGCCCTATCGGGCTCTTCCAACACATGAAGGGGCCCAAGTTTCACGTTGGAGCGAAAAAAAATACCCTCCTTTACGACCAGAACGAGGGCAATATAGAACACCATGTTTACGATTTTCTGGCTTGCGAGGAAGAAGAAAAGTAGCGCACTATTCGTCACAACGGTTTGGGCGTGCTCCGTCAACAGATGGCCGTGCTTCACTGGCCTTTGTCCCCAAGGGACCCTCAGGAATGGAGCACCCTAGCCACCCGGACCAAGGCGTTTGAATTCAAACACACCGGCGAAAGAACCGAACGCAAGACCAGCACACAACGAATCACCGCTGGGAGGACAACACAACATTGGCGGGGGAACGGCAGCGTTTAGCACACGCATTCCAGCATCGGCAGGGGGAGGGGCGGCGCCGTATCCACACATGTTTCGGGTGAGACCGGGGAGAGGATGGCAGAGGAAGCAGAAACCAACAACTAATTATTTTGCCCATGGTGAATGGAAAATGTCCAGTTTTCACCAAAATTACTCTCTTCATGCGCAGAGATGGTCCTCGTTTCATGCGCCGTAGCCACCACTGACCACGTTCAATTGTAAGTACGTTGCACCACTGACCATCTGCCAGCAACATCAGTTAGCAGGCTTCGCTTGTGAGCCTGCTTAGCTTATGCACACAAATCCCACGTACTGCGGAGCATTGAACAACACAATGTTGCCGCCGCCGTTCGTTCCCGCGTCCTGCCTTCCCCGTGTCTGCGTCAGGGCTATGACGGCCAAGAGGCCCTGGACATGTCCAGACATTTCTTTGGCATCCTGGCAAACATGCCCAGCTCCAAGCGACTGGCGAGGCTGGCCCGAGTTTTGATGGGCTCTTTACGAGAATATGTATAATCTACGCGATGGACATCACGAGATCAGCAGCAACAGCAACAGGCGATAGACGAGCTTCGCGCGATAGAGCAGACCCTTCTGTGCTCGCTGAGTGCCCAAGAGAGGCTCGAGCACTTGGAGTGAGTGTTGGAGACACAAGCGAGGGAGGCGCATGTAGAGGCGGATTTCCGCATGCTGGAGGAGCAAGAAGTAGAGTTGCTCGAACATGCTATGGAAATGATGGAGGAGTATGACGTTGAAGTGATGGAGGAAGCAGGATGGCGTATGGCCGTATTGAAGTGGTGTATTGGGTTGATTGAGCGGACGGGATGAAGATCGCGACGCATACAAACATGTGTTCGTTGTGAAACTTGGGTGTGGAACGGCTCAGAACAATATTCGCATTTGCCATGCAGTAATGTTGTAGTACATGACACATGATGTACCCATAATCAGTTGCAGAACGTCTGCGTGTGTTGTTGTGGTTGTTGTTGTTGTTGTTTCTCTTATTAGCTCTATAGTCCACAAAAAATGGGGAGCCCGTGATCGCAAAAACCCGGCACATACGACGCCGCGGGGAAACAACGCAAAAATAGGGTATAAACCACTCGGAAGAAGAAAACAATATAGTAGAAAGAAAAGAACATCTACCGCACCGACCCGTCGAGAAGAGAGCCCTCGGAAACCGACCAAAATAAAACAAAATAAAACAAAGATAAAAAGGAGGACCCTTCCCACACCCGCAAAAAAAGCTCAAAGGGTAAAGTACCAGCACCAGGCACTACGCACCAGGCGATGGGAGTAATGGAGGCAACAGAACAAAAGGCGGCAGACGGGTAGACAGCCAAATATACCAAAGCAAAAGCAACAGCAAAAGGGAGGCCAAGGTACCCAACAAGGCAGAGTAGGCAGGGAGGACATGAAAAAAGAAGGACACAGGGGCCGAAGGTAATACAAAGGACATACAGGAGTATAGCATACAGCAGGGAGGGGAACAGGGCGCAACAAGCTCAGCCCGGTGAATAGTTCGCCACAAGTGCTGCCTCGGCCGCCCTACTCGCTTCTACAGCAGTGCCCGGTCGCCGTTTCTTTCCCCCCACCGCCGCTTCGCCGAGTCTCTTTCTCTTTGGTCCTGAGATGGCCGTACTCTCTGCTCCTGCTTCCCTCGCGCGCTGGCACTTCGCGGATGCTTCCGCCTCCTGCCTGTGCCATTTCCTCATGAGCCATGCCGCCCCGTCCTCGACCTTGTTGTATCACGCCTCCGGGTCCTTGGCGCTCTCTTTCCATTTCCCCCCTTCCTTTTCGTCTCCCATGTTGAAGGCCACGAGGTCCTCTCCTAGACGAGACACCCAGTCGCTCTCCTGCCCGCCCCGGTATCCCACGCCCCCTGCCATCGCTCCTAACAGCATACGCTTGGGGAGGCGGCTGTCCTCCATGCGCAGAACAAAGCCCGCGAAACACATTCTCCGTTTGCGCACGGTGGCCTCGATGGTTTCCTCGCAGCCGGCCTGGATGAGGGCCTGGGCATAGGACAGGGGGCGGTCTGAGCGTTTCCGCTTGCTCCAGCCGATGCACCGTGTAAGGAACTGGCGGTGGGTCCCATTGAGCTTCGTGTAGTGCTCCGCTGTTAGGCTCCACGAGGCGCACCCATACAGGAGAGTCTCCACCACTTCAGCCTGGAGAAGCCGGATCTTGAGCTGGCGGTCGGCCCGTCGCCTGTCGTACATCGANCTCCACGAGGCGCACCCATACAGGAGAGTCTCCACCACTTCAGCCTGTAGCCGGATCTTGAGCTGGCGGTCGGCCCGTA